TCTTCAGCCCCTTTCTTCTATTCCTCAAAACATTTCAACATCTTCACTCACTATTTGCCTTTCTTTTCATCACATAAGAATTACCTATACTTGGGTGGGGGCGAGAGGTAGGTGGCATAGTAAATAAAATGCCTGGCCTGGAGTCAGTAAGACTTGAGTTCAAATATCGACTCAGACACTTAGCTGTGTGACCGTGGGAAAGTCCCTTAATCCTGTTTGCCTTAGTTTCCTCATCTATAAAAAGAGCAGAAGAAGGAAATGGTAAACCACCCCAATAACAATAATAATAGTAGCAGCAGTAGTATCAACAGTAGCCTGCATTTATATAGTACATTTGGGGTTTGCAAAGCACTTTACATATGGTATCTCATTTATTCCAGTTAAATGATTGTTGAATAAATGAATGAATGAATGCATACTGTTGCCAGAATAATCTTTCTTAAGAGTAGAACTAGTTAGATAACTTCACTGATCAAAAATCTTCAGTGACTCCCTATTCCTATAGGTTTAAGTTCAAAATCCTTTTGATTCAAAGCCATTTCCAATTTGATACCTCTCTGCCCTTCCAATTTCTATACCGCCCACATGCCACCAATGTCAAACTCATTAAATCATATATAAGGATCTCTGAAGGCTGTATATCGACTTAGAAAACCTCATATTAACATTATCTATGCTCTATTATATTTTAGTTTATTTTGGTAAATATTTCCCAATTACATTTTAAACTGCGGCAGGCCTCCTGATAGACATCTCTGTTCTAAATTTAGGCCACATTAGATTACTTTCCTCTCCTACTCTCTCCCCCATACTTTTCCTGTCTCTACTCTTCCCCCAAGACAGTTCCTCCCTATAGGATCATAGAGCTGAGTCCAACTGCCCCATTTTACAAATGAAGAAACTGAATCTCAGAAAGGTTAAGTGATTTACGCAAGGTCATTTGGGTAGTAAAAATTAGAGCTAGCATGCAAACTCAGGTTTTGTTACTCCAAAGTCAGAGCCCTTTCCACTATATCATACATCTCTTGGATGAAAGTTCACCTCATCCAGGTGATCTAAACTCACTGCTGCCTGCCAAGTGTGATCTTGTCTATCTTGGGTCTGGACTCTCTACTAACAATTTTTGTTCTATTCTTCCCAGTCTGTAGGTAATTTTCATTGGTACAGAAAACAGAAGAAAAATATAAATGTTTCTGCTTTTTCTTCAGTGTCCAACATCATATTCCTTGGTAGTCTTATTTAATTCAATTCAATTCTATAAACATGTAAGTGTCTAATGTGCAAGGCACAGTGCTAAGCACCAGGGATATGAGGGGGGTGGGAAATACCTAACATTTACAAGAGTATTTTAATACACATTGCATATTAACACTACATATTTCATACACATTGCCTCAATGAACCTTTACAACAACTTTATGAGGTAGGTAACATAAACGTAACGTGAATCATGCACGGTACTTTTTGCCTACCTCCAGTTGATCCTGTGGGACTCTGCGGCTGCTTCTGGCCTTGAGCTGACCCATTGCTGAAAGGACTTGGTGTTATACTGTGTCATGGAATGGTCCTCCCCACGAGACAGAGTAGATGATTCAGATGCCACCATCTCATCTTGATCTCACAAAGTCACCTGCTCCAAGAAGAAAACACAAGAAGCAGGGGCTGCCAGAGACCCAAGGGGAAGCTCACCGAGTTGGGTCCTCCAAGCACTAGCTCCCATGTTGGTGGAATCACCATGATATGGAGTAGAAGACCTCATCCTTTCTACACCCCTTAGTGGAGTCACACCTTGACCCATCACGGCCAATGATGGACAAGTTAGTAGCTATTTCTTTTAACAGATATTGCACCTCAATCCCTAGCTATTTTGGAGATGGGGGGAGAAGACCAAAGGACCACTCAGAGTTTTTCACATCATACCAAAATGTCAAGTTCTTTCAGCAATGGGTCAACATATCTGGAAACAGTCCCAAAGTGGGCCAACCAAAACTAGACAGAGAATATGTGGTCATGCTTTATACAACTCACCTTAAATAGGTATTTGTATTTTGGAGATAAGGATAGGGTTTTTATGATCATAGATTTAAAGCTGGAAAGAATGCAACACCTTCATTTTACAGATAAGAAAAAGTTAGGATGAAAGTAAGGCAGTGGCTTGCCCAAGGTCATGAAAGTAGTAAATGTCAGAAATGGGATTCGAAGTTTAAAGTCTGGCTAAGTGATTTATGGGGTCACAAAGCTGATGGGTGTCAGAGGTGGGATCTGAACTCAGATTTCTCTTGACTCTCAAGTACAATATGCTTTCCACTACCCCCTATTTCTTTGTAAGAACCTTTCCACAAGTACCTCACGTAGTATTTCATTTTACACCTTTCAAATGTACTTGATGTACAATATAATGAATTATCAGTAGCTAAGTATGTACCATCACCATGTGAAACTGCTCTAGAGCATCAGAGACCATTTTTAAAAATATAAATTGTGTATCTCCCCCAGTACCTAGAACAGTGCTTTGAACATAGTAGGTGTTTAATAAAAGTTTGTTGATTGAATGAATGAACAAATGCTGTCATTGGTGACCATAAAACAAACAAACAAAAAAAAAACAATTCTAGAATCTCACTTCATTTAACAACATATTTCCTAGAGCTGAGAAATAGTGGGGATGTCATTCTTTGAAGAGGTTAACAGTTAAAACCATTGGTTTATTTTATTTTTGTCACTGAGGCACTTGGGAACCTACTTACTTTTCTGGTTTCTAAATTAAAGACTAGGAGGTAGCATAATGGGGAAAATTTCCATTATTAGGTAAGAAGTGAGGTCACTGAGAAAAAAAAGGAGGTATGATTTCATCAGTCATCAGTGTGGCTATAATCACTCTCCAGATCCACAGACCCCAACCATCTAATCTATTTAAAAGTAGTTAATGAGTTGCTGGAGTGGGGAAAAAAAATGCCCTGGTGACCAATTTTTTTTTTTGGTTAAGCTTCTTCAAACTTAGCTGGGCTGTTCCTCAGATGACATCTAGTCAATCTGACCTATCCATACTTGAAAGCTTTTCTGGCTTGGTCTGAAACCTGCCAAATTTTGTGGTAAGAAGTATAGAATTTTTAATGGAAGAAAGCTAATGTGCTGGATCTTCTACAATCAAATGTTTCATTAAAGTTATTTTATTAACCTTGCTTAGCTACATCCCTGAAAAGTATTAAGACACACTTTATTTACAAATAGTGAAACTAAGGTTAAGAAACTTTGTTACTGATTTATCAGTATTAACTTGACCCTATAACCAAGGCAACCTATTAGACGGTCTGATTTCTTCATCTTCTGTAAAGGGGATTCTCTCAGAGTAGCTTTATAGAATTCCTTTTAGTAAAATCTTTGGATTTTTTTTTTTTAAAGCATGCAATTTTGTTCTATTCCTACCCTGGATCTCTTCATGTCTTGGTGAGGGACAGTTTTGCTAAAATGGCTGAATTTACTTGGGTTTCAATTAGTCAAATCCTCAGATCTAATGATTTTTAAATTTTTGCTAAGCAGTAAGCAATGGGGCCAGGAAGTATGCTCTCCACTGACATGAAGGTAAATAGGTTCAGTGCAGGTTTCTTTCATTACCTTCAAAGTCTGCACAGAATTTATTGTAGGTCGAATGTTTCATTTGCAAGGAAGCAGCCAAATGCATCTTATAGAAGATTTAGCTGTTTGGGGTCCACTTGGGGGAATGAGATGATGGATATACCATTTAAAGTAACCCTATTACCATCCCTACACACAAGTTGGTGCCAATAGGAATGTAGAGAGAGAGTTGAGCGACCAGTTCTGGCATTATTGTCAAGGGTTTTAATGTCCAATTCTCTGTTGCTCCAGCTGGGTTTCGAGTAGCTTGGGTAAGGGGTTTTTGCGATGCAGAGCCAAGAATCAAGGAGCGAACGAAATTATATGCGATATTTTAGCTGCTTTTCTGCCTGCACAGGTACATGTACACACACACACACACACACACACATACACACAAAACCAAAGTTGTCAGGAAAATAAAGTTTTCGAGTACATCTGGCCACCGCCATGCATACGTACACACACAATTCTTATTAAGCTAAAGTTGTCATGTTTCCCACACATCTGGCCACTGGCATGTATATACATATGCATAAACACAACTCCTATGAAGCTGAAGTTGTCATTTTTTGCACACATCTGGCCATTAGCGTGTGTATACATGTAAATATATATTCACACAATTCCTATTAAGCTAGAGTTGTCATGTTTCGAACACATCTGTCCACTGGCCGAGTACACTCAGACACACACATACACCCATTTAAGCAGGTCATATTTCACACACATCTGGCCACTGGCGTGCATGTATACACACACACAAAATCCCTATTAAAGTCATAGTTGTCAGGTTTCGCACACATCTGGCCACTGGCGCACATACATACACGGTACACAACCTCTATTAAGTCAGAGTTGTCATGTTTCGCACACATGTGGCCACTGGCACGCGCGCACATACACACACACACACATACACACCCTATTAAGCTAGAGTTGTCATGAAAATAAGGTTTCGCGCACATCTGGCCCCTGGAGAGAGAAGGGAGGGAAGGCACCGGCGCCGAGAGCCAGGAGGATCGGTTGTACCGGGGCCACGAATAGAATGAGAGCGCAGGGGCTCCAAGCGAGGGATCGTGGATAGGGAGCATTTACTCGCTGAGAAGAACCAATGAAGTTCAAGGTGGTGGAGCCGTCGCTGCTGCCCTCGGCGCTGGCCGTTAGGGGGCAGCAAAGGACGCCCACGCGCTCCCTGGCCAAGCTCCCCTCTGCCTCCTCCCTCCCTTCCTCCAGAGTCCGCTCCGCCCTCCCCCTCCCCTCCCCCATTACGTCTCTCTAGGTTGCCGACCCGGCGGCGGGGCGGGGCCGCGGGACGCCGTGTTCCCACAATGCTCCGGGGCGGTGCCGCCGCCGCCGCTGCTGCCGCCGTTGCCGCTGCCGCCGGTACCGCCACCGCTGCCTCCGTCGCCGCCTCCGCTGCCACCAGTGGGAGAAGATGGCGGAGGGAGGAGCGGCGGATCTGGACACCCAGCAGTCCGACATCGCGACGCTCCTCAAAACCTCGCTCCGGAAAGGGGACACCTGGTGAGGGGGACGGGGCGGGGCGGGGACTGAGGCGCCCGCGGCTGCCTGGGGGACGCCGGAGGGGAACCGGGCGGGAAGCGCCGGGGCCGGTGTCTTTGCTGAGTGACAGGTGCGGGGCGGGCAGGTCTGACCGGGACCGTGGAGGACTGGTGGGGGGGATGGCGGGGAGGTCAGAGGTTGGGCTGGAGGTGAGAGGTCGCGAGCGGGGCGGGCTTGGGGGCTCCCGCCTGCGTCCCGCCCTCCCGAGCCGCTCCCAGCCTCGGGCCCTCATCCGGTGAGCCCCTGCGGAGGGAGGGGAAGGGGCGTGGGTGGACAGGTCCCATCCGGCCCGGATCCGGAGCTTCTCCTCCTTTCTTTCCGTCGTTTCCTCCCCCACTCTCCTCCCCTTGGACCGACCGCCAAGTTTGCTCGTCTGGTGAGCCTCGCATCCTTCCGGGCCGGGCGGGCTGCGGGCCGCACAGGTGGTATGGGTCGGGGCGCCGCGGAAGGGCAAGGAGTCCCTAGTTTCCCGGTCCCTGTCAGAGGAGTAGTGCGGAGTCGGGAGCCCTTTACACCGATCGAGGAGGCCCCACGTGGTCTCGGGCTTCCCAGGGAGCTTGTCATGCAGCCGCAGCAGCAGCAGCAGCGAAGGGTGGGGGGGGGGGGAGTTCACTTTGAAGTTCAGCCCGTACCTTCCTGACTCTGGGGTTAAGAGAGCCCTGCAAAAAAAAGATAAGTCCGTGGGAGTTGAACTAACTTGCTGGTGGTATTCGTAAGGCTCTGGAGTTAGAATACTTAAGGACCTACCTAAGGTAGGCAGATAATTCCATCCCAAGGAGTGGAATTTTTCATACTTCCAAGAAATCAATCAGTCGGTAAGCATTTATTAAGTACCTGTACTAAGTTCGAGGCACTGTACTAAGTGCTGGAACAAACAAAATAACATTTATCCAGTATCCCAAATAAGCTCAAAGTATAAATGTGACTATATGCAAGAAGCGTTCATTTATTTAGGCGGTAATCATAATAATAACGATAGCTAACATTTATATACCGCTTACTGTCAGGCATTAAGCACTTTACAGTTATTATCTTACTTGGCAATAACCCTGGGAGGTAGGTGCTGTTACTATCCCCATTTTACAGGTGAGAAAACTCAGGCAGACAGGTTAAGTACACAGCTAGGAAGTATCTGAGGTCGGATATGAATTCAGGTCTTGCTGACTAATCCACTGAGCCACCCAGACGCCCTAATAAACATCTAAACCCAACTGTGGCCCTTCGATAAGCACTATATGCAGGAAAAGACGACCTAAATTCATGGCGTTGTAGGACATAAACTTATTTCTTTTCTGATTGATTTTTATATAAAGTTTTAAGAAAATTAAGCATTACTTTAAAGTCAGTCTATCTTAACTTATGCTTGGATTTGTATCCTCAGTGCTTAGCACATAGTAAGTGCTTAAAAAAATGCTTGTTGCCTGCCTTCTTGAAGTCATCTGTTTTGTAGGGCTAAAAGTTATGGACATGTACAGTGAATGATTATTATTTTCATTAGTAGCTATATGTGTTTTTAGTTTCTGCTCAGTAGCTTCTCTGAAGTGCTTAGCAAAGTGGTTGGAGCCTAGTGTAGGTGCCTAATAGATGTTTATTGGCTGACCAACTGTGTACTTTAATGGGGCAAGTGCCTTCAACATTTAAATGAATTTCTGGATTACAACAGAGAAATACTTTGAATGACTTTTAGTAATCTGTATAGTTCATATTCTTGTGTGAAGTTAACTAATCATTGGAGAAATGGAGCATATCTGGATTACTCAGTTTTAACCTTGGCACGTGGTTCTTTCAGAATGTGGTCAGTAATTATCCCACTGTGTGTAAAAAAAGACTTATTGCTCATAATGAAAATTTAGGCTTTGAAATAGAAACTAGTGTATCAGGGTTTGAACATTTACCTCAGCCTTTTTAGTAATGTCATTTAATGATAAAGTCTAGGACAGGCCAAAGATCAGCCTACCTAAGCACAGAGAGGCTCATTGCCAGATTGGCCAAGAGTGATAAATTTTTGCTTCAGCAACTCATGAAGCTAATTTCTGAACTTGTGAAGAAATTGCAGTGTTTAGTTGGTGGAGGGAACATGTACACTGATGAAATTGCGGATGCTTGAAGTACCATAGTAAGAAATCCCTGACACTATAGTAGGAGCGTACCTATTGTCATGCATGTGCTCATTTTTACTTAAAGGTTATAATTGTTAAGTTTTTGCTTTATGATAAAGTTACTGAGAATATTTTCACCTTATATATTTGAAAGTTTTATAGAAGTTTAGAATAGGAAAGAACTTTAGAGATCATTTAGCCCAACTCCTCTTATCTTTCCATTGAGGAGATTGAGGCCAGTATGTGGAGTTAGTGGTATATTCCATCATGCAATAAATGAATTGCACAATTTTTCACCTTGAATTAAAGAAAGCAAAAAGGGGCTGAAGTTGTATATGTTGGGGTAGATATTGGGAGACTTGACTGATTTATAAATGGGCTGTGTTCTGTTTGTAGTTTAGCAGAGGAAATTTGCCCAAGTACCAAAAAAAGTTTGATAAATTTTTTTAGTGGTAATGTAATAGTAGTAATCAGTTTTTGTTTTTTAATTGAAGTGTTACCTGGTTCATTGCTTTTGAATTAAATAAAAGTGATGGTTTTCTTTTAAACTTAGTTTAAATCTTGCCTCAAAAGCTAGCTGTTGACCCTGAATGAATCATTTAACCTCTCTCAGCCTTAATTTCCTCTTCTGTAAAATGAGTATAATAATAGCACCTGGCTCACAGAGTTATTTTGAGGATCAAATGAGATAACATATCATACAGCACTTTGCAAATCTTGAAGTAACATATAAGTGGTAGCTGTTTTTGTTAACCCCTGATTAAGGTTTCCTATATTTGGGAAAATCTTGTCTACAAGTTTGTAGACCAACAGGCCCATTTGCAAATGGGCTGGTGCTTTTGAAGGAGGTATAACTGAGACAACTAACCATCTTTGAAAAGGGCAGTGAAACTTTTGGGAAAACCTGTTAGAGCTGCAAATTTATGTATGTATTTATTAAAATTTACTTCTCAAAAAAAATTTACTTTTTTTAAATGAACAAAAATATTTTCTTTCCTACCACCTCCCCACCTTCTCCCAATGAAAAGAAAAAGAAAACCTTGTAACAAAATATGGACAATAGAAGCAAAATATTCCCACAGTGCCCTTATTCAGAAAATATCAGAACCCTGAGTCCCATCAACTTCTCTATCAGGAGATGAGTAGCATCCCTTTCGTTATGGGTCTCCTAGAATTGATCAGTATTTTTAAATCTTTTAAAGTTGTTTGTCTTTACATTGTTATTTTTTTACATAAACTATTTTCCTGGTTCTGCTCACTTTACTGCATCAGTTCATACTAGTCTTCCAAGGTTTCTCTGGAGCCATTCCCTTCATTATTCCTTATAGCACAATGGTTTTCCATTAATTTACGTACCATACTTTTTTTACAGCCATTCTCCAATAGATGGGCACCCCCTTAATTTCCAGGTCCTTGCCACCACAAAAAAGTGCTATATTTTATCTTAAGTAAGGCTATCTCTCTCTTACTTGTTCATGAACTCTTCCGGTATATGTAAATCTGAAAGGTAATTTTGTCCTTTCTTCTTTAATTTGTTCATGTTCCCTTCTCTTGGTATTTTATACCCAGATGTGATACATATGTGTGTGATATACACACATACACATAGTTATAGTTATATCTATTTACCTGTAGATATAGTTATATCATCGTGACTAGAGAATGAGAGAGATCCATCTGTATAGGTATATAACTTGAGATGTTTCTCTAGTCCTAATTTCTGCTACACTGCTTTCTATTTTTCCCACTTTTTTTAGACTAGTGAGTTCTTACTTGAGTAGCTGGGGTCTTTGAGTTTATCAAACATGAGGCTGTTGTGTTTAATTGCTTTTGTATGTTGTATACCTAATCTGTTCCACTGATAACTTTTTAAAAATTTACTTTCAGTATTTTCAAAGGTATATAGTCATATGTATATGGAATAACAATATAAATTCTGGGCAGCTAGGTGGCACAGTGGATAGAGTGCTGGGCCTGGAGCCAGGAAAATTCATCTTCCTGAGTTCAAATTTGGCCTCAGACACTACTAGCTGTGTGACCCTGGGCAAGTCACTTAACCCTGTTTGCCTCAGTCTCCTTATCTGTAAAATGAGCTGGAGAAGGAAATGGCAAACCACTCCAGTATCCCTACTAAGAAAATTTGGACATGACTGTAAAATGACTAAACAACAACAAATACAAATTCCATTCACGGGGCATTTTTAATTTCTTAATTAGTATGTTCAGGACACTCTGCTAGGCACTGGGAATCTAAAGATGAAAAATGACATCCACAAGGAACTTATAGCCAAATAATGGAGGGAATAAGAGAAAGGGATACACATCTGTATACCTAAGTATAATGCAAGTTAATTTGTGATCAAGTTAAATGAAATAGTATCATATTTCCGTAGCTAGATTGTAAGTTATTTAAGGGCAGACACTTAGGTACTTTTTTGTACCATGATATCTAGCAAAGGATTAGACATACAATAAGTGCTAAGTAAATACTTGTTAGAGAAAATAGTGAATGTTATTTGATAGAGATATTTGAATTGGGAAATTAACTTTACAAATAATAGCTAACTTTTTGCAAGTATGACAAACCACCACAGTTGATGGTGGACTCAAGCTAAATATGAGTTAGAAAGTAATGCTTCTATTTTTAAAAGAGGGGGAAGGTGAAAAGCTTGGGGGGAATGGGTAGCACTGGAAGTTTTTGCCTTATAGTGAGTTACTGAGAACATTTTTCCCTTATATATTTGAAAGAGAGAGAGGGTAAAAGTAATTAATAAAATAGTAATAAGGCATTCTTTTGTAGGATGAGGTATCCTCCCTGTGCTTTACATCTTTGGAAAGATAGGTAAATTAGAGAGGATTCAG